TAGACGTTTTGATTTTAAAAATAATTTTGTATAAGATTTTAAAACTCTCATAATATTTAATTTTAAAATAATTACAATCTCACATCTAGAAAAATAATAATAAAAAAAATAAATAAAAAGTGAGTTGTTTCATTCATATAAAGTGTTACAATCTCACATCTAAAAAAAAATAGCAATAAAAAAAATAAAAATAAAAAAGTGAGTTGTTTCACTTATAGTGAATCTTATAAAGAGGATTTTGAGGGAGAAGTTTTCTAGAAACTCCAAACCCTCATTCTAAAATTACTGAATTTTCTTAATTTTAAATAATTAAGAAAATTTTCATTGGTTAACTTCCATTTACTTTTTATTTTACAATCCCGCATCGGGAAAAAAAAATATTTTATTTACATAAAGTTAATCTTATGATCCAATTTATATAAATTATTGAATTTTCTTAATTTTAAACAATTAAGAAAATCCTAATTAGCTAGTTTTCATTTAACTTTTATTTTACAAACCCACATAGGAAATAGAAGGAAAAAGTGAATTGTTTCACTTATATAAAGTGAATCTTATACTCTCATTTATATAAACAAAAAGAGATTTTTAGTGAGAAGCCCTATTTATGTTTTTTTGATTTCATTAATATTTTTTTTATTAAGAAAATTATTAAGAAAATTCCCATTTGCTAGCTTTCATTTATGTTTTTTTTTTTATTTCTTAATTTTAAACAATTAAGAAAAGTTCCATTGATTAGCTTCGATTTAGCTTTTATTTTACAATCTCACATAGCGGTTTTGATTTTAAAGAAAAAAGATTGCATGAGATTTTAAAACTCTCAGAATATTTAACTTTAAAATAATTACAATCTCACATCGAGAAAAAAAAAAAAGAAAAAGTAAGTTATTTCACTTATATAAAATGAATCTTATACTCTCATTTAATATTATAGTATTGTGCATGTTTCAGTTCAATATAGTTTAAATTTTAAAATAAAATTTAAAAGTTTTAATTAATTAATTTTGTTGTAAATTGGTTGGTTTTTTCACTTAGCAAATTAGGCTGAATTGTTTTCGGTTTGACTAATTTACTGGTTTAACCGCGGTTTTAGCTGTTTTATCAAAATATATTGCTTAGATTTGTTTAATTTGAAATAAACTAAGATTAACTTTATTAAAAATTGAACGACTGAAATTGCTTGATTAGAAATGAACTTCTCATCCAAACAACTGTTAACTTTTATTTACAATCCCACATCAGGAAAAAGAAGAAAAAATAAGTTGTTTCATTATATAAATCTTATGCTCCCATTTAATATTGTATTATTGTATATGTTTCAGTTCAAGACAACTTAAATTTTAAAATTAAAATAAAATTTAAAAGTTTTAATTAATTAATTAATTTTTGTATAAGTTGGTTGGTCCTTTAACGTAGTCGATAGGGTGAACCGTTTTCGGTTTGACTGATTCGCTGGTTTAACTGCGATTTTAGCGGTTTTATCAAAATATATTGGTTAAATTTGTTTGATTCGAAATAAATTAAAGATTGACATAATTCAAGATTAAACGGCTAAGATTGCTTTATTCGAAATAAGCTTCTCGTCCAAATAATTGTTAATTTTTAAACAATTAAAAAAATCTCCATTGGCTAGCTTCCATTTAACTTTTATTTTATAATCCCACATCAAGGATAGAATGAAAAAATGAATTGTTTCACTTACATAAAGTGAATCTTATGCTCTCATATATGTAAGCAAAATGAGATTTTTAATGAGAAGCATTATCATTAATATCTCATACTAATTTTTTTTGATTTTCATATATCGATAATCGCAATGTCACTCTTCCTGCTCCTTAATACAAAAATTATGAGATAATTATCAAAATTTTAAATTTATATTTAAAACTTATAGATTATGAGATAGATTATTATACTTTTAAATTTATATTGTGTCAATTTTAAATTTAAATTTAAATTAATAGATTGCTTTCCATATTTAGTGACTGTTTAAATTTTAATAAAATAAAATTTGAAAGTTTTAATTAATTAATTTTTGTGTAAACTGGTTGGTCTTTTGACCTAACTGGTTAAGCTAAACCGTTTTTAGTTTGAATGATTTGCTGGTTTAACTGTGATTTTAGCTGTTTTACATGTTACGATGATTTTCTTTCTTACTTATTAAGTTTTTAAAATTTCTTTAATTATTTCCTTTCAAAAACCAATACGATTTTTTTTTTTTAAATCATGTATTTTTATTCTAAAATAGTGAAGTATTAGAACTATGTCATTTTTTTTTATTTTATAACAAAGCATAATTTTAATTATTAATTGTCAATACAACAATTTTAATCTATCCATACTAAACATTATAATAAAGAAATATTTGAAACAAAACCCTTAAAATTATATATAAAATTTTATTTACTAGAGACAAAATATAAAAAATTAAATATAATTATTATATTTTTAATAAATAATATATTATTTTATCCCGTGCATAGCATGTGTGGTATGCTAGTAAGATAAGAAATGAAATGATTATACAAATTAAGAGCAAAAAGAAAAGAAGAGAAAATAAAAGAAAAGACAATGATTTATTTCATATGTTGTTTGGTAAAATTACATAAAATAAAATAGAATAAAAAAGAAGAGAATAGAAGAATTGTTTTATATTTTATTACCAAAATAATTTTTTTATTAAATGTCATTTTTTTCTTCTTTTATATCTAAAGAGACAAATTTGGTTTTATAACAAATAGTGGTTAGTCGGTTTATTTTTTCTCTCCATTTCTCTTGAAGATATTCAAAATGAGAGTTATGGGAGAAATTTTACCCATATGAATAAGTGATATAGATCAAGAGAAAGAAAAAACAAAAGAGATACAGACAAACTATAAGTAAAAAAAAATTGAATACAAAGAAAAATTGAAAATAAATAAAATAAACTTTTGTCAGATTCATCATCCAAACCATAATGAATTAGGATGAAGACAAGTAAAAGTAGCTCCCGTTTGTTAAGATTGTTGGAATTAATTTAATTTATTAAAATTAAAATAGATTAAGCCATCGTTTGGTATAAGTTAAATGATATTTTTTTGATTAAAATAGTCATAAAAAAATAAAATAGATTTTTAGCCTAATAAAATAAAATATTACATTTAAATCATAATTATTTTATTTTTTTTCTCACAAAAATTAAAAAAGTCCAAAAACCTATCCCAAATGAGGTTTTCTAGTCCCAGATTAAAATAGTTAAAAAGTCAACTCACATCTCAAACGAATCCTAAAAAAGTTAATAAAATAAAATATTACATTTAAATTATAATTATTTTATTTTCTCTCTTATAAAATTATGAAAAAATTAAAATTTAACTCAAATAAAACATTTTCAGTCATATTAAAATAACTAAAAAATTATAAGAGAAATGTTTGGCACCCTCTTTTTCGGGGGTTTTATAACTCTCAATTTAGGCCTCGTTTGGGAACAGGCTAATTTAGTAACTTTTTGGCTATTTGGCTAAAATGTGATGTAAAAAAAACTAGTATGTTTGGGAGGACTTTTTGGCTTTTTACGAAAAGATGTGTAAAAAGTAGAGAGAAAATAGAATTTTTGACTTTTTGGTATGAGTTGTTAGCTTTTTGACTTAATATTGACATTTGATGTATGTGACGGATCTATTCATGTATATGTAAGCCCTGTATCATAAATGATTGAGATGAGAGTCAAAGTTATATATTTGTGAAGTTTTCTATCACAATTGAAATGATAATGTCCAGGTAAAAAAATTCTTTTCAACCGAAGCCGTAGCCTATCCACTCTAGTGCATGCTAGAACATTGTTTCATTTATTTCTTAACGTACGCTTTTTCATTTTTTTCAGATACGCTTCCTTGAGTGAGTGCCACAGCCACTCAACCACTGTCACAGCACACAGTACAGTGATATAAGAGAGGGGCTTGCTAATCATTCCAAGACTATGGGGGAACCAAAGAACAAAAGTAGCAATAATAATAATGACAACAAAATGTGTCACTATCATCTTATTTCGTTTTAAGGGGTTGTTTGGGTTACTTAAATAAGTGTATTTTTTTATCTTTTTTGATTAAAAAATTAAGTTTGAAAATATAGATGTTTAGGTTAATTTTTTGACTTTTTATGAAAAATGTGTAATAAAAAATTATAAAAATTGATTGGTAGGGAAAAATTCGAATTGGAAGTTGTGCAGTCGTAATTGTTGATTTTTGGTGAATAGTGTTAACTTTTTAACTTTTTAAGTAACTTTTTGACTTTTTGGCTTTTTTACAAGTTCCCAAACTTTGCCTTAATTTCATTTATATAAAAAAAAGGAAAATTTGATATCAATGCAATTGTTAAAAAATAATTATAAATATGCGATAAATCTTATAAATATTAATAATTGAAAACATAAATTTTTTCATGAATTTATAATAAAATTTTGAAATTAGCACTGCTAATTCTTCCAAAATAAAAAAAAATCAATAATTTCATATAATTTATGTTCGGCTTGTTATCCAAAATAGCCAAACTTAAAACACATTTTAAACCTCAAATTAAATTTGAATAACTGAATATTCTACTCGTTAAATTTATATATACTATAAAAAATCAAATTACTTGTGTGTTTGACTAGTTAAAAATTATTTGAGATCGACTTGTTATGTAAGTAAGTCAAATTTAAATACATTTTAAAACTCATTAAGGTGTTATTTGGTAACACTTAGGGTGTGTTTGGTAACGTTTACGTTTTCAGTTTATATTTACAAAAATTTTATAAACTGGTTTTTGTTTATTTTTTATTTATTTTTAGAAAAACATAAACTACAAACGTGTTTGATAATTGACAAAATGTTTAAAAAAATTTAAAAATATAAAAAAGAGTGAGAAATAGTAAGTGGTGGCAAGTGGCGGCAAGTGGCGGCGGAAGACGGTGGTGGAAAGTGATGACGGTAGGTGGTGGGTAGCTGGTGGTGGGTGGTGGTGGGTGGGTGGTGCAATTCTTCGTAGAGCAGCATCTGTTGCGTCTGTGGCAGCAAAGCATGCCTATGCCGCTGCTGCTTCCACGCAGGGTTCCAATGAAGAGATGCTGCCCCTGAAGTGCTGCTTGATGTCTGTGTCGTTACCTTGGGAGCACATTGCTTATGATCTTTTGTTTAAGGTTGGATAAGTCTAAAACTGCTGAAGAACAATGTGATAGAATAGAAACCATTTTAGTGTTGGGACTTAAAAATCAAGGGCAAATTACACTGACTTCCCCTGAGGTTTGAAGAAACTACAGTAAGCCCCCACAAAGTTTGGCATAATTACTTTGGATTTCCTTTAAGCTTTTGATTCACATAATGCAACCCCCTTCTCATAAGCAATTTGTTTGTCATATGGATGGAAAAATGATGTTGTCATCTCTCTTACATTGAAATGTGTAATTTACTTTTTTATCCTTGTGTTTTCATACAAATGGGTCCCCTTTAGCCTTACTAAAAGAGAGGTCGTTGTAATTATGTCAAAATTATGGGGTTTACTATATTTTCTCCAAATCTGTAGGAGGTCGGTGTAATTTACCCTAATAAAATGAATGAGGGTGGTGGTTTCTTTGGTTAGACCATACATGCTTTAGAAGAATAGTACTGACTTATTTCTTCTTTTTGACAAATGCAGAGAAGTCCTCCAGTGAACTTGTAGGACTTACATGATGAGAGACAAAAGACAATCTTGGGTTCCACCTTTATTAATTGAGGGGGTAAATGATTGTCTATTTTACCACCCTAAAAGAGGAAAGTGCGAAGGATGACAAATGCCAATCGGACATGGTGCTCCGACCTGCTAGAGAAAAGCAAAGGAGTTTTTTCTGCTTTTAAAGTTGTATGCTCTCTCTCTTTCCCCCTCTCGAATATTTTGGGTGTTGGGTTACTTGTGTGAATGGGACGATGACTGTGTTGAAAATATTGTATAAATTCTTCGAGGTTTATGATCAGGCTAAGAAAATGATTGGTGAATTCATCTTTGCTGTCTCTGTTTCCTTGGGTTTCAGGCAAGGTATAATTGTGTTTGAATTGTTCCTGAGCTTAAGCAGCAGAACATATGCATGTGGGTGGGGCATTAATTTTCTTTTTGTCAATCTTTAATCATCTTCTTGCTTTCAAAACCAAGTTAGAAACACCCTCTTATCTCCCTTTCTTTTGTGAATGTTCTTTATATCCTACGTCACACATTATTGTAACCCTATCTGAATGCTTCTTGGATCGCTACTTTTATTTCTTTAGGATGGATGGTCAGGAACACTGTTCTTTCGATAAAATTATATCTATCGGTTCAGGTGCAGAGGAACTAGATTATGTTGTTATTTTTTCATGGGATATCATTACTTGTCTGTGAAAAGGACTGGAGGGGCTCATTTAGAAGACCATCCAAGGGAGAGAACAAAAAATGCCATTGCACTTCATTTGTCTTTCTTTTTTAATTTCTAATGAAATTACATACTGATCTGATTGCATGAAAATATATATATATATATATATATATATATTTTGCTGGAATGTAACTGAATAATTTGAATCCAACCCATTATTTACCAAATTCATGTTGTTTTCACATTTCTTTTCCAAAATTTCTACACGTACAAACATATTCATGTTAAATTATGTTGTAACTATCATTGAACCCATTACTACCGTCGTTTGCAACTGATTTGAATGTGAAAGAAAGATATTACCTTAGATTTTATTTGTTGGGTTGAACTCACCATAAGTCCCATTTTGATGAATATGAATTGTTTATTTTGTCAGGTTGGATGTACTCAGTTTTGTGACATCCAAAATAGTTATGTTATGAGAGATGTAAAAATGCAGTTCTGCTACTTTGGAATGATTTTAACATTTATTTTCTATTGAAAACATTAAAAAAAAAAATGCCTGTTTCGTTGTGAAATGTTCATGAAGATGATTTTTTAATTGTGATACATTTAACCCTAAATTTTAGATCTTGTTTCAAATGAGAACAATTGAAGACATCATTGCTCAATTTCAAGGGCAAAGTCGTCAGTTTGATAAAATATAAACTAATTTGACAAAAATAAATATCAAAAAAATATTTTTTAATTTTTAGAAATTATTTCTACCCAACAAAGATAAAATTATATAAAATTGAATTTTTTTTACATATTTATTTATTTATTTATTTATTTTTACCAAATTAATTTTTATTATGTGTTTGAATGATGCTCATATAATAGGTGATTGTTAGTCTTTTAATGTGTAATCGAGATATTTAATATATAAGAATTTTTAGTTTTGGATTTTTTGATTTAATAGATTGGTTTAATAATGTATCAAAGTTATCACTATATTTGACTTTTGAAAAAATAGAAATCAATTTAATAAAAATAAAAACAATCCCCCATTTCATGATCATCATCCAAATACATAATAAATATTAATTTGATAAAACCAATAAATACATAAATGTGTAAAAGATTTATCAATTTTACATAATTTTATCTTTGGTGGGTAGAAATAATATTAAAAAATTTAAAAATATTTTTTTGACATTTTTTTTATCAAATTAGTTTATATTTTGTAAAATTGACAATTTTGCCCTTCAAATTGAGCTATGATATATTCAATTGTCTTTATTTAGAACAAGATTCAAAATTTAAGATCAAATGTGTCATAATTAAAAAGTTAGGGATTAAAGTAACACAAGTCTCAAATTATAAGAATCGTTAATGTAATTCATCCAAGCAAGAATTGAAACTGGATTACAAACTATTTTTTCTTAATATTTTTATGTGTCTTGATTCTTATCCGAATTCGCTAACATTATTGGGAATACTTTGATGGGGGAAATTGGGAATACTTGACGGGGGGAAATGTATAAGGTAAATTAAAATCAATAGTAAGGTGGTCCCAAAAAAGGATAAAGGAGAGAAAAAAACATAACACAAAAGGTCGAATATTGATAGACTTTGTTATGGTCCATCCCATTATCCTTTTTCATTGGAAAGAGATTTCTTCGTGTTGTTTTGGGAAATTAATTAAAAATTAATTTTTTGTTTTTATTTTTTATCTTTTTTTAAAAATAATGTGTAAAAAAATAAAAAAGTGATATAATTCAAAATAAAATAAAAGTTATTTTTAACTTTTAGCCATATTCTCAAAATAATCCCTTCATTGCTTAATTCTGAATTTTGACTTTGAATAGTTATTGGTGGTGGGAATAGAAGTGAAGAGTTAAAAGTAAAGGAAACAAAAATTTTAAATTCTAAATATATGTCTTTCTTGTTCATTTTTTTCATTAATTCTACATGCGATACTAAAAATGAATTGGTTAAATGAAATAAAATTTATTTTTTATAGATTGTAATGATGTTCATCGACCCAGTCGATTCACTAAAATCGACTAATTTGATTACCCAACTCATCCACTTTTAGATTGTTCTGACAGAATAGAACAGACAAATGCGGGTGGATATTTTCCAAATTTGCTTATGTTCAGATATATAGCAAATGAAAGACCACCCAACCCAACCCAACCCAACCCGATCAGCTATGTTATATTTTTATGCTTTTTTTGTTAAAAAAATGTATTTTATTTAATAATATTATTAGCTATTTATGAAATATGAAAATTGAGCCCTTAAACAATAAAAAATTTTAAATTTTAAAATAGTTCTAAAAAAGGCTTAAAACAATAAAATTCAAAATGTCATATCAATTTGCATTCATCTATTTAATCTGCATCCGCTAACTAAGTCGATGGATGGGTATTGATTTTTCTAATCCTCGTAAGTTTAGACAAATGGAAGATGAGAGACCACTCGACTCAACCTGATCTGTGAGTTCCTCTAATAGACTCTTAAGATGTATGATATAAATTTAAAATTAGTATAACATGGGGTCATACTTAAAATAAATGTGATTCATTACTGTAATTTTCTTAATATTTTTTGGGTAAATTTTTTTAAAGTATATAACATTATTAAATTAAGGCTTGATTTAGTTTGGTCATATAACATTATTAAATATGTTTTACAAAAAAAAAAAATGAATAACTTTTTTCTGTTTATGTTAGTTGGGCTTCGTTCCATCATCAACGGCCCATGATGTGAGATCCAAGTCTTTCTTTACTTTAAAAAAACATTTGTCTTGACTTTTGTCATGGCAGACTTTAAAAGTTATTGTGGCTACAATGATTTGTGGCTAAAATAGTGGCTATGATTTGTGTCTAAAATAGTTATAAAAGATAAAATATATTATTTTAGTCACAAATAAATAAAATATCACATCTAACCCATAATCATTACTCTCTTCTTTCACAAAAAAAAAAATCAAAAAAGTTAAAAAAGTCAAAAAATCCTTCTCAAACCAAACTTTTTAGCCCTGGCTAAAAATAGCTAAAAAAAGCCAAAAAACCATCTCACTTCCCAAACCAACCCTTTAGTTTCTACAAGTTAGTCTTGAATTTTCGAAATTAATTGTTTAAAAATTATTTTTAAATTATTCATATTTTTTTTTCCATATTTTAGTCAAAATTTTTTTTTTTTTTTTTTTTTACTTTTTAAGTTTGAAAATTACATTTTAAACATTTTTTGAGAACAATTTTAGTCTTTGGTGAACTTTAAAAAGTTTTACATCTTTAGGTTCTACTAAATTAGGCAGACTAGAACAGTAAAAAGATTTTAAATTTTAAAAAAAGTCCATTGAAAACAAAAAAATTATAAAAAAAAAAATTGATTTTTATGTTTTTTGGTCTTATGGAATTTTTTATTTTCTAGATTTTTCTATCCTAGATGGACTTGACAAAAATAATAGACACAAATTTTTTAAAAAAAAAAAAAATCACAAAAGACAGAAATAAATTAGGAAAAAATGTGACTTTTTTTAACTAATTCCAAACAAAACTTTAATCTAGATGCACTTAACAATTAAAATACTCTTAAAAAAAATTTGAAAAGAAAACAAAAATGACTAAAATATGAAAAAGTAACAAAAAAAAACCACCAAAAACAAAAATAACACAACAAAGAAAAAGAAACAAAAACAAAAACAAAACAAAAAAATGAAATAAAGTTTTTAACAGCTAAACCAACACGCTTTCCAGGCATAAAAATAATGAAAAATAAAGGAGACAAATCTCCATTGTCACCCTCCCAAAAAGTTTCATTTCAATTTGTATTTGAAACATCATTTGGGAAGTAATAGTTTTGAAAATCAAAAAATTATTAGAAAAGTCAAAAAGCTTATAACATATACCAAAAATTAAAGATTTCATTTTCTTTTTACTTTTTACACATTTTTTCGTAAAAAGTTAAAGTCATTCCAAATATACAAGTTTTTTTTATCTCATATTTTAGTCAAAAAGTTAAAAAATTATTAAAATAGCATGTTCTCAAACGAGACCTAGTATTTTATGTAGCATGTAAGTTAGGTTGTTGAAATTATGTAATGTTATATATTTTTTTACATCCCCGTTACAGAGCCTGAAAGTCCCGGCTCGAATTTGAGAAGGAAGAAAGAGGAAGAAGAAGAAGAAGAAGAAGAAGAAAAAGAAGGAGAAGCAGAACTGGAGGGGCCATCAAAATCGGGCTGGAGGCGGAGATGGGCAGAGATGTGACGATTGGCCGACGAGCTGCGACGACTCTCTCTCGCCTCTTGCCTTTGTTTCTCTCTCTCGCCCCTGTTTGTCTTCTCTTGTGTTCAAAACGAAGAAGAAGAAAAGAAAGAAAAGGAAGAAAAAGAAAAAGAAAAAAATTTGAAACCCAAAATGACGTCGTTTTGGGTTTCGAGCCACTGATTTCCGGCCCTCAAATATTTTTCATTTTTTTAATTGACATCTGATAAAAAATGAGATTGAGATTTGATGTGATCGAATACTCTACACCTCGGATCAATTATAAAGTAACTTCTAATATCACATATTAATTAATAAGTGAAAGAGTACACCACATTATCTTAATCGCATATCTATTATATAAACTATTTTCTCCATTACTTTAGTTATATTTAGATATT